TTCCAGGGTGCGGGTCTGAGACTCCTGAGGAGAGCTTGGGGTCCCCCCAGCTGTTAGGAACCCAGTTTTCCCAGAGGCGAAGGAACCAGCCATATTGTGTGCGCCTCTGCCGTCATCAGCGGCTGCAGAGAAATTCCTGGAGCAGATGTGTCATCTCTGTTCCGATGCTCCAGGAAACATTGGCTTTGGAGTTCGGCTTATTAGCTCGAGGACGTTAATACATTGAGCATTAAATAAATAAACCAACAAAAACTCAGCAGAGGTAGAGATAGGTTATGGCCTGGGACTCTTTAAGGGAAGTGACGTCTCTCCAGAAAGGGAATTTCTGCTCCACCATCACAGATGATCCTGGGTCGGGGGCTGCTTGTGAGGGGAAGATGTTCAGTTTGGCTTAAAAACCCACTCAACAGCACCTCCGGGCCCCGGGCTTAGGCTGAGCGATGGGAACTCGGGGTGAATCGGGCTCCTGTCCCACGATGTTCGGAGCCTTGAGGGCAGACAGACGTGGGTGTGAAGCTCAGATCACAGGGCGAGGTGGTTGACAAGCAGAGAAACGGTTGGATGCACAGAGGAGGGAGGGAGTATACAGCGATGCTGCCACGTGACCTTGAATGAGTAACCTGCACCTCGGCACCTTGGTGTGCTCATCTGTAAAATGGGCGGGAAGCAGTCTCCCTCTGAGGGCTCTGGGCTTACTGTGGTGATGCCGGCAGATGACAATTGAGCTTTGTCAATGCTCAGCTGTGTCGATGGGACAGATGAGGAATGGAGCGAGGGGAGCTCTGTCCAGCTCAGGCCACACAGAACCCAGGTGGTCATGGGAGGGAAGGAGGTGGGGCTGGGACAGGTGTCGCGGCTGCCTCTCTCCAGAAACTCAGAGACTCCAGTGACGGGGATGGACACAGGCATGTTGGACCCAGACACCAGCTCTTGTGGCATCTCCTTGGTGCTGTGCTGGCCCTCCCAGCAACGCCGTGGGTAGAAACCATCATCCCCGTTTCACAGATGGAGAAGTTGAGGCTCCGAGATGTTAAATGTCTTGGCCAAAGCTGTGGAGCCAGGATGGAACCCCAGGCTGCCTGCTCCAGCCCCACCCCTCCCAGAGCCCCTCCCAGGGGGCTCTGCCTCCCCAGGCCAGGTGCCCAGGGCCCCCACCAGGCCAGGTTGGGGGTGGGGACTGCCTCTCCTGCTGCACAGGCAGAGCAGGACTGTCGTGGTTGGTTCAGTATTCGTTCAGCAAACACTTATTGCTCACCTCTTTGTACTCAGGGCCTGGTGCTCAGAGGTGACAAGGGGCAGATGGGCCTGGAAAAATATTCAGAGTCCTTAATATCGGGGCTACAATTGGGGGGCAGGTATGAGGACAGGGAACTCAGAGGGCCGCATGTAAGACTGGAGAGGGGAGGGGGGCTTCCTGGAAGAAGGGACACCCAAGCAGGTCGTTCCAAACCAGCAGGTGTTTGGGGCAGACGGGGAGCAGAGGGCACGGTGACCCAGCCTAGGGAAGCGGGAGGAAGTGGCCGTTTCCATGAGAGATGGGAGGAGGGGGCCGTGTGGGTGACCAGCCAGGCCGTGTGCCTGTGGTGTGGTCCCAAAGCTGCCCTCTGGGTTTGTTTTCTGGAAAGGGGGTCATGGAGGGAGCGGGATGAGGGACCCTGGGAGGACAGGCAGCTCCTCCTGGCTCTGAGCCTCCCGGGTTCCCAGCATGCCCTGCCCCCAGGGCCCTCCTGAGCAGGGACCCACCCCTCTGAAATCCCCCTTCCCCCCCCCGCACGGTTTTGAGGAGTCGGGACTATTGTCCCCACCTTACAGATGAGGAAACAGAGGCTCTGACGTGCCCAAGGTCACAGTCCCTCCGGATGGAGGTCAGGGCCTTTCACACCAGGCTCAGGGGCCCCTGGGGGCGCAGGCAGAGCAGCGGGAGGCCCTCCATGCTGACCCCTCGGCCTCTCTGGTCGGCATCTGGGACATTCCGGGAGAGGCTTGCCCCTGGCCTCACACAGCCCGCCCAGCCCTGAGCCCTCGGCCTGGGCTCGCCACTCTGTGCTGACAGTTTACTGCATCTTCACCCTGAGAAGCAGGCAGTGTCTGTGAGGTAAATTGTATCGGTAAATAAACCGAGGCTCAGAGCGAGGACATGACGTGCCGGGTCACGAGCCAGGAGTGGCGGAACCAGGCACTGAGCCTGAGCCTGAGCCCATCCATGCCAGTGCCACCCTCCCTGGGGCTGGGGCTGCTTCTCCGAGCTGCTTCCGCCGACCCGGCCCCGAGGGAGGGACCGAGGGGAGGAGGGGCGGCTCCAACCGAGGAGGGGACCCCTCCGGCGCCCCAGCCCCTCCCACGCAGCTCTCACCCCTGCACGGCAGACAAAGGCACCCCGTAATTGGGAGCGAGTATTTCATGTGTCCCCCCTGATGTTTTATGGGGAGGAGAGAGGCTCGGAGACCTAACGGATGGCACATTCGGTTTATAAAGTGCGCGCTGCTTGTTTTATTTCCCGGGTTTTTGCAATCTAGATAACAGATGACGCCCCGAGCGGCTGGCGCTGCCACGGTAATGGCGGCACGGGGCCTTCGGAGAAGTATTAATAATAGATGGTGTTGATGAGTTTGGAGAAAGTAGCAATCGACCCCCTGCTGCCAAGGCATTAGCGGGGCCGTTCTGAACGCGCCTGCACGGTGGCAGGGCCTGGTGGCAGCGCCTGCAAATGCGGGTCACCGCCCGCAGCCCCCCTCCCGGCCTGAGCGGGCCTCCTGGGGAGCCCCTGGCCCCGCCGTGCTGGCACAGAGGTGGCCGCGGCCTAGCCACTCGGGGGCCACAGAGGCGGCCGCAGACCTTCCTGGGGCCCCAAGGACCCAAGGTCGAGTGTGGGGACCGGACAGAGGGACAGGGAGGGGGCAGGACAGACGTGTCCCCCGTGGCAGAGCAGCGAGCTCTGCAGATGTCTGTCAGCTGGGAGGGGCTGCTGCCTGGGGCTGCCACGGGCTGCTGGGTAGTGGGACCCTGAACAGAGCTCTCCAGCCAAAGGGCCGGATGGGAGCCCACATCCAGGCCAGGTTCTTCCTGCAGAGTCACCCACCGTGTGGGCTGGGGGCCCCCGTCTGCTGGGAGCACACAGTGGGGCCTGAGCCTCTGCCCACCCCACACCTTCACTCGCCTGCGTCATTAGCCCTCCCGGCCGCCCTGAGGCCCCGGTGGATGCGGGCCTCCTGCCTGGGGTGCCCGTGCAGAGCTGACGGCCACTGCGGTCCCTCCCACGTGACCCTCATTCACCGAGTTCCATGCCCAGCGCCACTGAATTCCGACAGCAGCCCTGAGGGATGCTCCGTGGCTCCCTGTTTTATGGGAGAGGGGACTGGGGACCTTCCTAAGACCGGGCCAGCACAGAAGGCTTCCCAGAGGAAGTGGCATTGGCGTCGGGCCTCACAGGCTGAATAGGAGCCTGCAGGGCAGGATGGCGGGGGTGGCCGGGTTGCTGGGGAGCCCCCCCCATTGGAGTGCCCTGGCCGGGCGGGGGCAGCAGGCAGAGGGGGCTGGCCCTGTCCCGCACTCCGCAGTGCTGTGGGCGGTGCTGCCGGCAGCCCGGGGAGGGAGCCGCCGGGCCCGTTTATGGCTGCTCCAGAGCCGATTAGTGGAGAATTGCAGCTGCAATCTGCGCCGCGATGGCGGGCCATAAAGAGGGATGGGACGTGCGCGGCGCTCCCAAGGTGGCGCCCACAGACGTGGCCCGGGGACACAGAGGATGAAAAATGGTTTTAATTCCCTCCCAGCAGCCATAATTTGATTCTTCATAAATTTCTCCATCAACGCGTGGCTGGGGCTGAGTTCCCACAGAGCCGAGCACGTGACAGGGCCGGGCGGCCAGCGGAGCGGTCAGTGGGTACGGGCAGAGGAGGGGCCGAGCCGCCCAGACCCTCCGCCCACGCGGGGCCAGAGCCCCACCGGGCTTTGCATCCTGAGAGGGGGAGCAGATCCCCGTGGTCGTGGAGGGACCCCGAATAGGTCCAGGCTCAGAGGCGGCTCCGTTGTTTACCATCATGTGACTCTGAGCACGTGACGCCAGCGCTGAGCACCTCCATTTCCTAATCCCTAAAATGGGGTTCGAGTGTCCCCCCCCCCCCCCCCCCCCCCCCCCGGCTCAGAGGCTGCAGTGAGATCTAAACGTGTTTCTGCCGGCAGAGTGCTCAGAGCAGCAGCTGGCAGGCTGTGTGTGCTCAGTACACACTTCACCTCACGGTGGCAGAGGGATACGTGGGTGTTAGCCAAGCCCAGGGCCGGAGAGAGAGGGGCAGGGTTAGGGTGCTCTGGAGGAACTGCAGGCTGTTCCGTGGAGCACGGCCTGGGGGGAGCAGGGGTCGGCGGAGGAGAGGCAAGATGGCGAAGGGCTGTGGGTGTCAGACCCAGGAGCCTGATGTTCCCCCCAGGGCACCAGGGAGCCATGGGAGAGTCTAGAGCAGGGAAGCAGCAGGACCAGGTGTGTTTCAGACAGATCTTTCTGGCGCTTCCCCTGGAGGGTGAAGGGTCGGAGGAGCCAGGAGCCCTGGGCGGGGACTGGGACAGTGGTTCAGAAAGGAGGAGGGGGGCCCAGGCTGGCGGTGGGTTGGCCAGGGCGGGGATTGCTTGGATGTGAGGGTGGCGGAGGGGCAGGGAGGAGGCAGAGCGGATCCTGGGGTGAGGGTGGAGGGACCTGTGGGTCGCCTGCCCGTCCCCTCCGGCCGGGGAAAGGCTGAGGCTCGCCTCGTCCTCTGCCCTCTAGTGGCCACTGTGTCTGCGTGGAAAGGGCCCCGAGCTGACACGCTCCACGCGAGGGCACCTCCGGGCAGGGTGCCAGTGCCCACCCTGAGGTCACGGGCCCTCCCCGGTGGCTCTGGGCCCAGGGAGGGCTTCTCCCATTCGGGCTGGAGGGCCAGGGGGTGGGAGTGGCTCTCAGTAGGCCGTGGCCTCCGGGAGGGACCCGAGCCCGGCCGACGTGCCCCTCCGCGCCCCCTCCGCGCCCGCAGGCTCTTCGCGGCCAAGTGCAGCGGCTGCATGGAGAAGATCGCCCCCACCGAGTTCGTGATGCGGGCGCTGGAGTGCGTGTACCACCTGGGCTGCTTCTGCTGCTGCGTGTGCGAGCGGCAGCTGCGCAAGGGCGACGAGTTTGTGCTCAAGGAGGGCCAGCTGCTGTGCAAGGGCGACTACGAGAAGGAGAAGGACCTGCTCAGCTCCGTGAGCCCCGACGAGTCTGACTCCGGTGAGCGGGCCGGGCCGGGCCGGGCCGGGCGGCGTGGGGGGCGGGCGGGGCGCTGTGGGGGCGCCGGCATCTCAGACCCCGACCCTGGCATTGTGGGTGCGTCTCTGGGTGAATGCACGTGCTCTGCATGCATGTGTGTGCGAGCCTGGCTGTCCTGCCTGTGAGCGCGCACGTGTGTGTGTGTGGGTGTGTGTCTGTCATGGCCATGAATACTCCTGTGTGAGAACATCTGGAGCGTGGTCCTTGCCTGTCAATTCTTAGTCCGTGGAAGCTTCCAGAAGGTTCTCTGAGCCCGGGGCCTGGCAGCAGGACTGGTTTTCTCCAGGTTAGCCTCTGGCCCGGGGTCTCCAGGCGCCGGAGGCCATAGCAGGGGCTGGCGGGAGGCGATGGGACCGCATCGGGCAGCAGCCCCCTGAGGGTCGTGTCCCCCACAGTGAAGAGTGAGGATGAGGACGGCGACATGAAGCCCGCCAAGGGGCAGGGCAGCCAGAGCAAGGGCAGCGGGGACGACGGCAAGGACCCCCGGAGGCCCAAGCGGCCCCGCACCATCCTCACCACGCAGCAGCGAAGGGCCTTCAAGGCGTCCTTCGAGGTCTCCTCCAAGCCCTGCCGGAAGGTGAGGGGCGGCCGGGGCGGCCGGGGCAGGCTCATCCATCCACCACCCCCCAGCCCACCACCTCCCCGCTCATCCATCCCCCCCCATCCCTCCCACCACCTCCCCACCCATCCATCCCCCCCCATCCCGCCCACCACCTCCCCACCCATCCACCTACCCCCCCCAGCCCACCACCTCCCCACCCATCCATCCCCCCCCATCCCTCCCACCACCTCCCCACCCATCCACCTACCCCCGCAGCCCACCACCTCCCCACCCATCCATCCACCTCCCCCAGCCCACCACCTCCCCACCCATCCATCCACCCCCCCCAGCCCACCACCTCCCCACCCATCCATCCACCCCCCCCAGCCCACCACCTCCCCACCCATCCATCCCCCCCCCATCCCTCCCACCACCTCCCCACCCATCCACCTACCCCCGCAGCCCACCACCTCCCCACCCATCCACCTACCCCCCCAGCCCACCACCTCCCCACCCATCCACCTACCCCCCCAGCCCACCACCTCCCCACCCATCCACCTACCCCCGCAGCCCACCACCTCCCCACCCATCCACCTACCCCCCCAGCCCACCACCTCCCCACCCATCCATCCCCCCCCATCCTGCCCACCACCTCCCCACCCATCCATCCACCCCCATCCCACCCACCACCTCCCCACCCATCCATCCACCCCCCATCCTGCCCACCACCTCCCCACCCATCCATCCACCTCCCTATCCGGCCCACCACCTCCCCACCCATCCACCTACCCCCCCAGCCCACCACCTCCCCACCCATCCACCTACCCCCCCAGCCCACCACCTCCCCACCCATCCATCCACCCCCCCCAGCCCACCACCTCCCCACCCATCCATCCACCTCCCCCCCAGCCCACCACCTCCCCACCCATCCATCCACCCCCATCCCGCCCACCACCTCCCCACCCATCCACCTACCCCCCCAGCCCACCACCTCCCCACCCATCCATCCACCCCCCCCAGCCCACCACCTCCCCACCCATCCATCCACCCCCCCCAGCCCACCACCTCCCCACCCATCCATCCACCCCCCACCCCGCCCACCACCTCCCCACCCATCCATCCACCCCCCCCAGCCCACCACCTCCCCACCCATCCATCCACCCCCCACCCCGCCCACCACCTCCCCACCCATCCATCCCCCCCCATCCCACCCACCACCTCCCCACCCATCCACCTACCCCCCCAGCCCACCACCTCTCCACCCATCCATCCACCCCCCTATCCCGCCCACCACCTCCCCACCCATCCATCCACCCCCCCCAGCCCACCACCTCCCCACCCATCCATCCACCCCCCATCCTGCCCACCACCTCCCCACCCATCCATCCACCTCCCTATCCGGCCCACCACCTCCCCACCCATCCATCCACCCCCTACCCCGCCCACCACCTCCCCACCCATCCACCCACCCCCCTATCCCACCCACCACCTCCCCACCCATCCATCCACCTCCCACCCAGCCCACCACCTCCCCACCCATCCATCCACCCCCCACCCAGCCCACCACCTCCCCACCCATCCATCCACCCCCCACCCCGCCCACCACCTCCCCACCCATCCATCCACCCCCCACCCAGCCCACCACCTCCCCACCCATCCATCCACCTCCCACCCAGCCCACCACCTCCCCACCCATCCATCCCCCCCATCCCGCCCACCACCTCTCCACCCATCCATCCACCCCCACCCCACCCAACACCTCCCCACCCATCCACCCCCTCACCCACCACCTCCCCACTCATCCATCCACCCCCACCCCACCCACCACCTCCCCACTCATCCATCCACCCCCCCACCTGTCCACCTCCCCATCCACCCCCTTCTCCCCCGCCCACCACCTCCCGGGCCGACCTGCCCCCTCCCTCTCCGGCAGGTCCGAGAGACGCTGGCAGCAGAGACAGGCCTCAGCGTGCGCGTGGTCCAGGTCTGGTTTCAGAACCAAAGAGCAAAGGTGAGAGGCCGCGGGCCGCCCCCGCCGGGCAGCGTGGGGGGGGCTGGGCAGGAGGCAGAGGGCCTGGTGGGGGCGGATGGGGAGGCGGGGAGGGCGGGCTGGCACGCACTGTCTCCCCAGATGAAGAAGCTGGCACGGCGGCACCAGCAGCAGCAGGAGCAGCAGAACTCCCAGCGGCTGGGCCAAGGTGAGCAGGGCCGGGCCGGGCGGGACGGGGCCGGCGCCCTCACTCACACCAAGGCCGCCAGCTCAGGAACTGCTGCCCGGGAGCCAGCGGAGCCCCGCGAAGCGGAGGTGGCAGCGGCCACAGGACCCGGGAGGGGGAAGGGGCCGCCGGAGGGGTGGCGACTTCCTGATGTGAAACCTGCATCCTCTGCTCCTGTCCCCTGTGCCGGGCCCTGCGCTCATCCGTGACCCGCTCCGGCTCAGCCTCCCGGTCCCCTGAGGAAGGGCCTTGCCGGGTCCTGTCACCGAGGAGGAGGCTGGGCCTGTGGGGCAGCCAGTGGGGACAGAGCGGGCCTCGGCCTCCGCGGGCTCCTCAGCTGGTGCCCGCCCTGACCACGTGCCCTCGGCCCCTGCGGGGTCTCAGAGAAAGGCCCGGTGGGGGAGGCAGGCTGGGCTCCTGCCGGACGGGGAGGGGCTGAAGAGCAGGAGCAGCCCCTCCAACACAGGGCTTTGCCAAAAGGCCAGGGCTGGCTTCCCAGGCTCAGCCTCAGGGGGACAGGGAGCCTCAGGGCCTTGAAGGGAGGCACGGGGCCTCTCTGGGGCACTGAAGGGCGTGGGGGCCCCGAGCTGCCTGCTTTGGGATGAGGCAAGGGCTACAGGCAGACCCCAGGCCCGTCGCTCAGAACTTTGGGGGCCCGTTTCCCAGTGACCCAGGGCTTCAAGGCCATGGCCGCGGGGCCCAGGTCTTCCCCTCTGCTCCCTCTGCCCCTCTCCCCGGGCGGTGGGTTCCGGAGGCTGCAGCCACTGCCTCGTCTCCCAGGCAGCCCTTGGGGTTCCCAGCGGCCCCCTCTAGAGCCTAGTAAACCCTTGTTGGTTCTTTAAGTCACACGGGGGTGGGGGCCCCTTCGTCCAGGAAGCCTTTCCTGAGGCCCCGTGGCCTGGGTTCACACCCCACTCCAATACTCCTGCACCCACACGTGACTCATCACCGCCTGCCTCGGTGTCTCCCCGGAGGCGGGAGCTCCCGGAGGGCAGGGCCTCGGGAGGACCTGGCTCTGGAAGGGGAGCTGGGGTGTGTCCGGGGCAGGGGCGGGGGCTCGGAGAAAGGCTGTGTCCCGGGGCCCGCTGCAGGGTGTGGGGTGTCCCTGGGAGAAGGCCGGAGGACGCCGTGGTGGCGGGGGGATGCGGGAGGTCTGGGGGCCTCTGGGGGTGCACCCCGAGGCTCCTGGGGAACAGGGCGGGCGGGGCCTGGCGGTGACGGACGGCCGCTCTGCCCGCAGAGGTCCTGTCGAGCCGCATGGAGGGCATGATGGCCTCCTACACGCCCCTGGCCCCGCCCCAGCAGCAGATCGTGGCCATGGAGCAGAGCCCCTACGGCAGCAGCGACCCCTTCCAGCAGGGCCTCACGCCGCCCCAAATGCCAGGTGACCACATGAACCCCTATGGTAAGCCGCCCGCCCCCTCCCGCCCAGCCCCGCCCCTGCCCCCTGCCCGCGGGCCTGAGGCCGGGCAGCCACCCCCACCCCGGGGCCCACAGCCCCCGCGCCTCCTCCTGGCAGGAGGGTGGCCCTGAGACCCTTCCCACGGCCCGGCCCCTCCGCTCAGGAGCTGTCGGCAGGTCATGCTGCCGCCCCCTCGCCTCCAGCCACAGCCCATAGGCCGACAGGGTCCCCGGGAGCCTCAGCCCTCACCCCCCTCCTGACGCCCCTCTGCCCCCCAGGCAACGACTCCATCTTCCACGACATCGACAGCGATACCTCCTTAACCAGCCTCAGCGACTGCTTCCTCGGCTCCTCGGACGTGGGCTCCCTGCAGGCCCGCGTGGGGAACCCCATCGACCGGCTCTACTCCATGCAGAGTTCCTACTTCGCCTCCTGAGAGCCAGCCGGCCGCATGGACACTTGGGCGAGGGTCCCGGCGGCCAGCCCCGCCCTCCCGGCCCCGCCGCCCGCACAGACTCTGCCGACAGCCATATGGTGCCCTCCCCTCGCCAGCCGGGCCTGGCTGACGTGCCCGCGGGGCACAGCCTGCCAGCCGGGCCGCCGAGCACAGCCCTCTGCGCAGGGCTGCGTCCTGCCCGCAGAGACCGCGCCACCCCGGGGACCCAGAGCTCTCGGACAGCCCCTCGCCTCCCCGCCCCACCTCGGCCTCCATCGCCTCCTCCGTCCCCGTCTTTTTTGGGAAGCTTAAATTCTCTCTATTTTTTTAAACATCCTCTCTGTGTCCAGCCAACCTCCGGGGCCCCGGCTTGGGCCGAGGCAGGGCCCCGTGCAAGCCCGGGAAGAGGTGGGCCAGGCCTGTGCCCTGTGCTGGCGCCCACCTCCCTTGGCCACCTCTGTGGGCAGGCAGACCTGGGGCGAGGCTCACCCCTCCCGGCCAGAGCGGGGCAGAGGCGGGGCAGAGCCAGCCAGGTGCCAGGCCCACCGTGGCTCTGCCCTGGGGAGAGTCGCCGGGGAGGGAAGACGAGCCAGGCGGACCTGAGGGTCAGAGACACACGTGCAGCTGCACACACGAAAGGCACGCAGGCAGACACGCAGGCAGACACGCACAGAGACGTAGACACTGAAGGAGGCGGAGCAGCCCTGCTGGGCCCGGCCGGGCCGGGAAGGGGAAAGAGGCCAGACCGGGAGGGGGCCGCTCCTCTGTAGTGCCAGGAGAGGAAGCAGGGAGGGGAGAGGATAGGGTGAGCTTGAAGCAGGTGCACTTGGAGGTACCCCAGAAGGAGGCTGGGCAGACAGGGAGCCGCCGGCCAGCCCCAAGGGCAGAGACAGAGCTCAGAACCAGGCAGAGTTGGGCCAAGTGGCAGAACCTCCCGGCGGGAAGGACCTCATATGTCACCCACGTGGCACGCCATCTGCTCCTGGGACAAGGAGCCCAGGCCCCGCGCCAGCTGCCCTTTCCTGCTGCCCTTTTCCAGCCCTGAGTCCTCGCTTCTCCACGCCAGGCTTCCCCGGTTTCCCCTGCTCTTCCTCTTCAAACGGAACCCACCACTGGGCCCCAGCATGCCTCCTAAAGGCGTGGCGTGCATAGAACCCAGTCTTCCCACTGACCTCAGCCAGCCAGAGTGAGCAGGCCCGTCACCTCCCCAGCGTTAGGTGCCCTACCTTTGTTAATGTGACCTGAGGTCCAGTTAATGGTTTAGGCCTTGTAACCTTGGAAACACCCTGTCCTATAAGAAAACCCAGTGACTGTCACACACAGGACAGCTAAGTCACATCTCTCTTCTGTGTGTGTGTTGAGTGGGGGGGGGAGGCATGTGGACCCTCAGGGCCTCTCCGGTGTTTGGCGTTGGCCCACTAACCAGCCCTTCCTGGGTGATGCATTCCCCTGCACTTCCAGCCCTGTTTCGAGCTGCCAGAAACCAAATACACTATGTCAACCCCCACCCTCCGCTCACTCAATTCTAACCTGCCAAAGGGAAGTGAGGTCAGGCTGCTGGTCCCTGCTCTCAGTGTACCCCTGGAGGGCGCTGTGTCCTCAGCCAGGTGCTCACGACCCTGCCCTGAGTTCTGGCTCAAAGCCCTAGGCTGCCCCCAGAGGCCTGCTTGTCCAGCCTCTGAGCGGATGGGGCGATGGTTGGTTGTCTTTGGGCTCCTCTGCCCGGCCCTCCCGGGATCCTCAGAGTTCCCCAAGCCGCTCTGTGGTCTGCTCCTCTGTCTGCAGGGGAGCCTCGGCCTCTCCGGAGTGGTCTGGGCCCATCTCCCACCCCTCCTGGCTCCTGTGCGCAGACCTCACCCTGCTCTGTCCGGGGCAGCTGGCTGGGGGGACCGGGCGCAGCGTCCGCCCTCCCTGGGCTAAGCAGCCAGCCTGGCCCTTCTGGGCTTGTGCTCCCCAGGCCTTCCCTGGGGCCCTCAGCTGGTGGCCTCGGTCCATCCGCAGCCTCGGCCTCAGCCTCCCTCTGCTCTCTCTGGGCCCCACAGCCGTGCTGGTTTCTGGAGAGCTGCCGCCCTTTCTCCTTTTGCGTCCACACAGTCAGACCAGGGCAGGGGCACCCACACAGTCAGACCAGGGCAGGGGCACCCACACAGTCAGACCAGGGCAGGGGCACCCACACAGTCAGACCAGGGCAGGGGCACCCACACAGTCAGACCATGGCAGGGGCGCTTGGGCAGGGCCAGGTGTGGAGGCCCCAGCCCCCGATTGCCTGCCCTTCCCTCCCAGGCTCTAAGTTGGAAGGAACCTCAGGAATGGGCCACCCTGCCCACCCCTCTCCCCGTTCTTTGCAGCTGGAAAGTCTGGGCTGGGAGAGGGGAGGGGACCCACAGCCCCCTGACCACCAGTCCGTGTCAGAGCCCGAGCTGAGCCCAGCGCCGCCTCCAGGCTCAGACCCAGATGCCCACTCTGCCCAGCCCTGGGTCAGAGGCGGGGACCCACATGAGCAAGATGTAGGGCCCACCCTTGAGATAGACTCTAAGGCTGGGATAGGACAAGGTATGTCCCGAAGAGACACACACACTCTGTCCCAGACCTTGTTGAGGACCCATTTCTCAGATGAGGAAGCTGAGGCCCAAAGGAGGGAGGCGAGTGCCTGGGTCACCCAGCAGAAGCACACAGAGCCGGCAGGCTCGCTGGGGCCGGGGCAGGCCGAGGGGAGCCGGCTCTTCCCACTTCGTGGGTGGAACTGCAGCCTTTCATGGGGGCAGTGAGTCGTCAGGACCCCCATCCCCTCCAGGGTGAGGGACCATCATCACTGGGGGTGGAGAGAAGGGGGAAGCCCGAGGGAAAAGAGAAGTAAGAGTCTGGTCTCGGGAGGAAGGGGCAGAGGGAGAGTGGCGGGCAGGCAGGTGACTGCTGGGGAAGTGGAGGCTCAGAGGGAAGAAGGAATCTATCCCAGGTGACGTAGTGAGTGAGAACAGAGGAGGGATAAAAAGCTGGGCTCATGCCACCAGCCAGAGCCTCGTCTGCCTTCTCCACGGCCAGAGAGACCCAGTGGCTCTCAGGGTCAGACCAGGGTCCGACAGAGCCTGTAAGAGAAGGGGTCAGTGCACGTGGGCTAGGCATCTCGGAAGGCTTCCTGGAAGAGGAGGAGGAGGAGGAGGCGTGGGGGCTCCAGATCAGCAGGGTCAGGCCTCTGGCATGGGGCTGGGGCAGCCTCTTCTCTGTTAGGGACTCGCCTGTCTTGTCCGCTCACCTGGAGCTGGCGGCCCCTTCACCCGCAGGGAACCTTGGAGGAGGGGGAGCTGGCCGAGCCCTGCCTGGCCCCCCTGAGCTCTGGGCACCACCCGGGGTGTGGGTCTCGCCTCCTGTCTGGGGGGACCCACAGCTCTGGGGCTCACGGTGCCCGTGGGGAAGGGGGTCCACGCTCACATGCACACACATGGACACACACACTCACACCCAAACGCACATGGAGGCTCCCGGGCCCACACTCCCAGGCGCACACAGCCTGGGGGGAGCTGGGGTGCAGGAGGACCGACCCCCCCCAGCCGTTGGCCCTTGGGAGGGGCCGTTTCCAAGGAGCCTCTTTGCTGGGGCCCCCCCACCCCACTGGGGTTCCCCCAGGAGCTCGGCCTAGCTGGGCGTGGGCCCCGGGCCCCTGGCCATTCCTCTGTTTTCCTTGTACAGACTCACCGCCCACCCACCATCCCCAGACACGTTTTATTTAATAACTTGTCATTGTTAAATTATTTATTAGCATTTGCCACATCACCACCCCCGCCCAGCCCTCCACTCTCACCTTCCGCTCCTCCCACGAAAGCAGAAAATGGAAACGACAACAACAAAGATGAGACGTCAGTATATTTGTAAATAAACCGACCTGTACACGCCTGTGGTGACTCTCCTTGGGGCGAGGGGCTGGGCTGAGACGAGAGCACATTTCTTGATGGCCGCCAGGGACAGCAGGTCCGGGAGGAGGGCTTGGGTCCCTAGTCTTGCCCAACCCATTCTCTCACAATCCTCACCTCTCCATCCCTGTCCTATCCCAGCCTTAAACCATTTCCGTCCTAGAACAGATCCATCTCACTCCTCAACACTCATTCATTCATCCAACCCATACGAAGAGTGCCAGCTGTCAGGCTGAAAACCAGGGATTGCTGGTCCCTGACTCCAGACAGCAGTGTTATAGGAGCTCAGCTGCGGTACAGTAAGGCCTTGCTGCAGGGTTCCTAACCTCATCGGGAGGGGCAGAACATCATGGAGGGCTTCCTGGAAGAAGCTACATGTCAAGCTGAAACCCAGCATGGCAGGACTGGATGAGAAGGAGAAACGCCTGGGAATGCTCAGGCTTGTACCAAACCTCACAGGCAGGCAAACTCTAGTGAATTTCCTAAACCCCAAGAGCAGCTAAGTTTTGGGGGCGGATGGCGGAGGAGAAGTAATGAGGCTGGAGGCACGGTTAGACCATCCCATGAGGGCAGGTGGACTGGATGGGGGCAGGAAGGTCCGTTGAGTCGCCTTTCTCACCTGGGTGAGAGGTGGCAGCGGCTTGAGAGGGCAGTAACAGTGGGGAGAGAAGTGGGGGCAGATTCCCAAGATGTGGGTGAGCCAGGGAAGTCAAAGCAACTTCTAGGCAGCTGGATTATGGAGATGGGGTTCCTGGAGCCCTCTAGTCTGGGGTGTGCGGAGCTGGGGGCCTCTGGGGGCATCCAAGTGGACATGTCCTGGAGCAGGGCTGGGCCCTGAAGAGACCAGAGGCTGAGCACCCAGGTGGGTGAGCTTGCCCAAGGGAATGCGACACAGGACAGTGGAGACGCGGAGGCCAGGCCCTGAGTATCATGGGGACTTGGGGCGGGGTCCGCGGGTATGTGGCAGGGGAGGGGGATGGGTGCAGATGCAGAGCCTCTCAAAGGGTGACCCTTAAAGTCCCCAGGCGCCTGGTGTGTGTGTGTGTGTGTGTGTGTGTGTGTGTGTGTGTGTGTGTGTAAATAGCTCTGTGG